AGCGGATTGTGCTTAGTACTGTTTCAGGTCACTGTCCCTCCTGTTTCTTCTGGGAAACCTGCTCCCGCTTTTTACCCCATCTCAACTTTGCCTCATCAGCCCCCTCGATGAGCTGATATGACTTGTGAACATAGCAGGAAACTTGGAAGAAAAAAAAAAAATCTTCTGGATTGCTGAGTTGTATCAGATCTTGAAAAAGTCTGTCATGGTCATGACAGTGTGGTTGGGATGGGTGGGGGACAAAGGAAGAGTTAAGCTTCTCACTTCAGGTGGTAGGAAACACTAAATTAGCTGAAGTGATGATAAAACTGTAACCCGAGAGTTTTGGGAAGTCTTAACAAATATGTTGCACAGTGTTAAAAAAATTCCAGTATTACATTGGTTGCTGCTTCTTTTCTCGCTCTCATCTCATTGTATGTTTTTGGTAGGGCTGGTGTTGCTGACAGGACTAACGTGCTTCTAGTATGTTCTGAGTTACATCTTTTATTTCTCAGGTCAAAGACCTGCTTTTCATGGCACATCTGTATTGCAGAAAAGTAATTGCTCTTCACAACTATTGCTCTTTTTTTAAAATAAGTTTTTTATAAGGTGTTTTGATAATGAGGTTCAATATATATCTTAAGCCCCACCATACTTGAAAGTTGCTCAGTTTATGCTGAGCATCTAATATACTTGGCTAGATCATCTAATACTTAAATGCAAGGTGGATTCTTAAATTGTCACAGCCCACACAGAGCACTTCTGTACCATGGGCTAGATTCTTCCAATCTGAAGGAACCAGCCACTGGGCTTCCTTTTACCTCATATATTCATCCTGCCTCTCTTGCTGGCACGATGCATAGTCTTGTATGTAAAGCTGTTGATGATAAAGCCAAACCCTGATGATTAACAGGTTTTTTCCTTTATTGCAGGGCGAAGACAGCACTCCAGCAGTATCTTGCATGATCAAAGACTAATTGAATCTATGGACACCCCTCATGTCTACTTAAGGAATAGCAGGAGATATTCCTGACTCCTTATATTTGCACAAGTCACCTTGGGCTGCATTTTTCTCAGGTGCAGGGAGCTGCTTTGCAGAAACAGTTTAAATGATCAGGTCTCCAGTGCACTTGAGAATTTTCTTGAGGTAGTTTCTTTACTCAGAGGACTCCTGGGGGGTTGTTTTGGTTTTTTGGGTTTTTTTTTCCTGAGCTACCTGGACTTTCGGATAGAACAATCAGTCATCATTTTCCTTTTGGGCCTACAATTTTCTGCTTTTGCTGCAGCCTGTGTGTGTGGATGTGTGTGGGAGTGCTCGAATGTGTGGGTGTGCTTGGGTGAATGTGTGTGGGTGTGATACCTCAATTTTGTTTTTCCTTTTTTTGTGTGAAAATCCTTTTCTACAGGTTTTCAAGGGTTAACCATTGTTTGCTGTACGAATACTTCAATGAATTATATACAGTTTGAATGAAATGTTATTTAAAAATACCAAACTGTTGTATCCCATAAAGTTTATTTTGAATTTTGAACAGATGAATGTTTTTAAGTAAAATATATGCATTTTGAACTTCACCTTAACTTACATTATACTTCCTTTTTAAAGACAGTAGACCCCAAATTATAAGCAGCGCATTCTGTACTGACAAGGTCCAAGAGGTTTTTTTACTGCCATACAAGGTCACCTGGTACTGATGACAAGTTCAAATCCATGGAATGGGTCAACTGGATTATTTTGGGTTTCTTTATGTTCTTAGAAGCTCATACTTCAGAGTTAGCATGACTGTTGACTTTTCTGGAAAGTAACAGGTGGCTGCAATATCAGCAGGCATAAGCTATTGCTTTAGTAGCCAAGAACTTGCTCAGATAATTGCTGAAAGATTAGCTTATTTCACTGGTGATAAGTATTTGCTGGTCACTAATATCAATAGAGCAAACAGTATGTTGCAGAAGTTATACTTTCAAGAGACCAGAAGGAGCTGGCAAGCAGTGATTAAGGGATTGCTCTCGTTTTGCATCCTTTACCTACAGATATAGTTAAGTGACTTACAGATTATTTCCATGAAACATCAGCTGGGTGCATTAAGTTGGGGAAGGGATGGAAAAATTAGGGTTTTGGTTTTGTTGGGGTTGTTTTTTAGCTCAAGTAATGTTGCTACAGATTTTGTGTATATATGCAGATATACACATTTGCATGGATTTGGATACCTGAATAATAAGCAGTGGGTTTTTACTCTGTTCAGAAGCCTAGATTGTCTAGAAGTTCCTGAAAATTGTGCCTGTGTGGAGAAAAAAATACGAGTACAAATGAAGAGGAGTGTGTAAGGTTAGGCTGGAATATGAGACCCCTGTGGCTTCACAGTCAAATATGCATAGGAACAGATGAGGGCAGCAGGGAGCTCTCTTTCATGCAGTTCAGGGTTCTTGCTTTCTTCCTGTGTCTCATTTCTGATTTCAGTTTAGACCATAGTTTTAATAGTCAGAATCTCCAAACACTATATTTGCGTAGCACTAACAGGCACACTGAAGATTGCAGCGAATGTCTTAAACCAAATCTTTCTTTTGTTACACTGAACTCCAGGAAGGCTGCAGCAAGAAGAGAGGTCTGTAACTTTGCTAACCAATTTTGATAAGTATCTTACTCTTTTCTTTCTAATCAGAAGGTCAAATTGTGATAGCCTTACATTTTTCCAAGGTAACTACTTGTGTCAGAAAATGTGACCACAGTTTGGCCTGGAATTTGAATGTGCTATGTATCAGATAACTGTTATCATTTGGTTGCAAAGGAGAATATATACATTTTGTGTAACTTCTTCCACTCTTGAAAGACAAATAAAAGTGAGCACCTGACACTTTTTCCCCAGGCATTGCAGTAAGTGACTGGCAGTTTTTTAATGTCCTTCTGCAAATTTTTCATGATGGACTTTGGGGGGTGAACAAAAGGGGAAGTAAAAATATGTGAGAACTTGATAAATACCAATACCTCAGATGTGAAGTCTTATTTATAAAATTCAGTCAAATATATTTTTGCTTGAGCTCAGAAAAAAGTTCTGAGACAGATATTGTAAATCCAAAACTGTACAGCATGCATCAGACTTCTAAATTTGCACTCCTGCTATGTATGTTTAGGAGCTCAAGTTCTTACATACCTCTTCTTGTCCTCCCCAAATTCACGTTTCTAAAAGCAAATCTGAGTTTGATTCTATAAAACTCCGGTGCCTGAAGGTGTTCAGAAAAGGTGAGTAAGTATCTGTGTACATGTTTTGAGGTGGCTTCCTAAAATTCTACCAGAAAAAAATGAAAAACAATGCTCAGACAATCTTGTTGCTGCATGAGAACAGTTGACATTTTCCACAGATATTCATTCATAGGATGAACTGTTGGATGAGAACATTTTTACATTCAGTTAAGCTTTGTGAATAATTTTTGATGTTGCTATAGGTATGTACAAAAAGAGGAATACTGTAAATAAAAAGAACTTTACCAGAGTATCTAGATTTTTCTCAGCTTCGTGGAGAAATCTCAGCTTTCTTGCCAGCTTCTCTGCAGACTGACAGTTGCTAGCCTGAGATTCACAGTGGGAACAAAATTGATTTACCAACTTTATTTAGGTAGCAGTGTCTAGAGAATTACAGGGTTACTCGCAGAACCAAAGCAAGTATACAGTTTGTCTGAACATCATATAGATCACCAGGATTTCTGCTGTTCTTGTGCCATTTCTCTTCTCAGAACCAGTCCTAATGAATTTTGATAAGTATGTCTGCTCTTTATATCTGGGTCCAGTGATGGTAGTCCTCTCAAAGGTTACATGTGTCAAAAAAACTGCAGTTCTGCATCGAGTTTGGCATGCTGGTTGTCCGAGAAGTACACTTGGTCGCTCCCCACCACCTCCAGTCCACATTTGGAGTAGTCTCTCCCATGCAAAGTCAAATGAGACTTATAATTTGGCTGGTTTTCTAATTACAGATTTGCACTGTAATAAGGAGAGAAACTAAGTGACCCGCTCAAAATCAGCTTATGACAGTATATTCTGAAGGCAAACATATCTTATAAATTCAATTTTACAGACTTTGCTATTGCAGTAGATGCTCTACCTCCATGAAGCTGCTGAAGCAGTAGCACAGCGGGCAGAATAATAAGTTGAGGTGCATGAGATTAGACTGTTTAAGACTAGAAAATGAGTTTTAACAGGACTGTCTTTGTTAATCATAAAAAGTAGGTGTAAACATGCAAAATTTCAGTGGTGGTTAAAATCAGCAGGACTTTAGTCGAGACTTATTTCTCCAAAGTCAGTTGCTGGGGCCATTCAGGGGTGGTTTGCTCGGCTGAGCTGGTGCTAAAGGCAGGGGACCCTCTGCTGAGGCTCAGCCCCACCACGTCCCATGGAGGCACTGGCCAGTGTCCCCTTGGGCTGCCAGGGGCACTAGGGGAGTTGATGTGCCAAAAGCCAAATCCTCAACCAGGAAGGACCTTGGCCAGGTGGAGGACCTGTCCACCAGACATCGTGTGCTGAGAAGCAGCACCTCCAAGGTCTGCATCTGTGGCCCAATGACCCCAGGCATGGGAAGGGACAAGGTGGGCAGCACCTCTGCCCAAACGCTGTGGGGTGCTGGGCACAGGTGCTGGGTGCTCACTGCAAGTAAGAAAAAAACCCAACGAACCTTCAAAAATTGAGCTGTGTTTTGGAGTGGGCTAGCAGCTTTTGTGTCTGGATCTTGTGCCTTGTCTTGGGCCCCTAGTTTGGGAGGGGTAGGGGCAAACTGGAGTGGGGTGGTGTATTGGGCAGTTTTGGCAGGCAAAGAGAAGGCAGAGGGTCTCCAACTGCAGGGGAGGGGAATTAAGAGACAGCTGAACTTCCTGACTGCAGTGACTGAGGAGGAAGCAGGGCAGGCTGGGCTGCTGTTCCGCCCCAAAGTTGCCAGGGCTGCCACAGCAACGTTGGGGTGCTGCCAGCCACCACACAGGTACTGCCAGGCCCTGGCTGGGGCCCCTTCTCTTCTGCTGTGCTCACAGAGCAAGGAGGAGCAAGCTGCAGTGTCTCCAAAATCAAGCAGCGATTCAGGCCCTGCAGCAGACTTCACCTCTGTGAAAAGGGTGCGAGCAGAGCCGTGTCCGTGCTCTGGGCACTGCTGAGCTAATCCCACTCCCTGCAACAGGGCGGGGATGCAGCTGTAGACGGTACGGCCTGGGCCGAGGAGCAGAGACGGGTAAGAAGCTTTCTCTGTAGGGCAGGTTGGCCAGCAGTTGGATTCACAGAATTAAGAGGACATCTGCAGTGCTTTGTGCTTGGGACTGCTACTCAAAGGACCTTTGTTCCTCCAGAAGGATGGCTGCAAAGAAAAAGGAGGTAGTACTGCAGGTTAGTAGGAGTCAGGCTTTTAAAACATCTTTTAAATTTATGCCCTGATCCAATGTGAGGGGAGGTTTCGATACGATCCCAAGAGAAATATTAAGACACAAACAAGGTCAAATGCCATAAACCCAAAATAGGTTTTTATTATTAAAAAGGTAAAGAGGGGTAGCGATAGGACAGAATAGAAGGAAGAGGCAGAAATAAAGCAAGGAAGTGGGATAGGGCTGCAAGAATAGTTACCACCATGGATGCAGCAGCATCCTGTTAGTCCTCAGCCTTCAGGTCTTCGGTGGTGGGTGCACACGGATCTGGCTTCGATGGTAGATGCATCCAGATCTGGCTTTGATGGTAGGTGCACAAGAGCAAGATTTTCTGCAGCCTCTTTTAAGTTAATTGTACCAGCGGATCAGCATATCTGCTCGCCTTCAGTTTTTTCTCTGGTCTAACAGGTTTTGTTGCATCCGGCTTCAAGGGCAGGAACGTTTGCCTCTTTATCAGTTCATTAGCAAGGCATGCATGGGGTCTGGCCTACACAGAGCCACAAACTGCTCCAGGATGGGGCCAGCTAAGTCCATGTCTGCCCCTTTGAGGCTTATGTAAAGACTCCGGACAATGCAATATCAAGGAAGTGGGGGCTGCATCCTTCAACACACTCCTGCTTCTCTGGGCAGCATCCCCCAGACCAATTCACAGGCCACAGCAGCTTCTCTTGGAGGTTTGCACAGACACAAGCAAGCTTTGAGACAGTCATAGGACATTTCAGTCTCTCACAACTCATAGTAAGTGCAAAGGATGAAGTTCAGTCTTAGAGTATCTCAGATTCTGCTGGCAAAGCCCTACTGTAAGGTTCTTGTGGAAATGCCTTCCTGAAGGCAGGTAGGAAGCATAGTAAAATGGGACAAGTCAAGTCTGTCCCCTAAAGTCAGTGCTATGGGGTGCAGAGGGAGGTGGCTATGGGGCTGCAGTTGTGTTTCAGAGCTGTTAGAAGCTGGCACGGGTTTGGCTGCTTTCATAGATCAAAATGTATCTTAACGTTTCATGGGACAGTTGTTCAAATGACGTTCAGAAGTGGAAAACTGGGGAAGGGGGTTTTACTCCTGAATGGTAGGTGTCACTGAACGTTTCTGACCAGTTCATGTATTTTGAAAGATCGCTGTAGTAGTGGAAAAGTTAGGTACAAGAAAAATTCCAAGGCTGAAAAACTTATTTCACGATGTGTAGAATTTTTCCCTACATTAAACTGTGCAAGTGGCCTAATGATGCTTTATAACTATCTGCATAGAGGGGAGAGGATTTCTGCAAGCAGTTTAGCATGCAAAAACATTGAAAAACACAAAGTAGGTTATGAAGGTCTCCTTCAAATTTTGAAGCAAGTTTAATCTTCACCAGAGAGAGATACTAATGGAGATTATGGGCTTTATAACCTTGTTTATTCCCTGTTAAAACTGGAAAGCATGGAGCGAAAATGTGAACATTTGTATAAGACAAAGAAGATCACTTTTTTTAAGGTAAAAATGGTTTCTACTGCTGCTTGTCTAATTGTGTGCCTGTGTGATGGGGGAAATGACATCAACCAGACTTCGCATCTTTTGGCAACTAAGGGAAAGCTGGGTCTTGATGCACAAAAATGTGATTGTTCACATCTGCAGATGAAAGCTTAATCTCGTGTAGGACATGGTGTGATGTCCTAGAAAAGTTCTGTTTATATTAGAGAAAAGCAAAGTCCTTTGCAACCTCAGGGCTTCCAAATTAGCAAAACACTTTGAAGGGTGCAGGCATTACTTTCTGAGTCCATCAGTTGAACTCACAGCTGAGCTCATTATCACAAATTATTATCATAAGCTCTTTGAACTCATTAACATTCTGTGAAACACTCTGAGGGTGGTCCTAGCACTAGAGAAAACTGGACTAATTAAATTTCTTAATTCTGCAGGTGTTCTCTGAAAAAAATGAGGCTTAGGGTCATGTGCTAAACAGGAGAACAGAGGGAGGTGTTTGAACATCTCCCCATTCTCCAGGTGAGGTGGCATCCTGGAGAAACTATTGTGTGACCTCCAGTGACGCCTCTGAAAGTCTGTAAGAGGCCATTTAATTTGCACTGCGGTTTATACTCTTGGAATCCTTGACTTTGCAATTTTAGCAGTCCTTTAATGCACGTTGGTGTTAATGATTGTAAAATAGCTGGCCTTATTGCATCTGAAATCTACTAAATGTAGTTAGGATTAATGATAACAACTGAGAAAGTTATGAGCAATCTTCATTATTCAGGATGAACAAACCCGATATTTCTTAAGCACTTTTTTTTAAATTTATTTGTTTTTCTAGGTACACACTGAGGGTCAGATCCTGTAATACAGGGAAGATGCTAAAGATAGAATTGCAGAATCATTCAGGTTGGAAAAGACCCTTGGGATCAGTGAGTCCAACCCTCAGCCCAACTCTACAAAGTTCTCCCCTACCCCACATCCCCCCATCAGCTCATCCAAATGGCCCTCAAACACACCCAGGGGTGGGGACTCCAGCCCATCCCTGGGCAGCCTGTTCCACTCTCTGACCACTCTTTCTGGGAAACATTTTTTCCTAATGTCCAGTCTGAACCTCCCCTGTTGCAGTTTAAAGCCGTTCCCTCTTGTTCTGTCACTAATCACGCATGAGAAGAGACCAGCACCAACCTCTCTACAATGTCCTGTCAGGGAGCTGTAGAGTGATGAGGTCTCCCCTCAGCCTTTTCCTCCTCACACTGAACACTCCCAGCTCCGTCAGTGGCTCCTCACAGGATTTATTCTCCAGGCCCTTCCCCAGCCTCGTTGCTCTCCTCTGCCCTCGCTCCAGCCCCTCGAGATCTCTCTCGTGCTGAGGTGCCCAAAACTGGACACAACACTCCAGGTGTGGCCTGCCCAGTGCAGAGCACAGGGGGACTGTCACCTCCCTGCTCCTGCTGGTCACACTATTTCTAATACAAGCCAGGATGCCGTTGGCTTCCTTGGCCACTTGGGCTCACTGCTGGCTCCTGTTCAGCTGCTTGTCAATGAGAATCCCCAGATCCTTCTCTTCCAGACATCTCCAGCCACCCCTCCCCAAGCCTGTAGCCATGCAGGGGGTTTTGTGGCCCACGTGCAGGGCCTGGCACTTGGCCTTGTTGAAGCTCATCCCGCTGACGCTGGCCACTGATCCAATCTATCCAAGTCTCTCTGTAGAGCCTCCCTGTCCTCATGCAGATCGACACTCCCGCTTCACTTGGTGTCACCTGTGAACTCACTGGTTACACACTCTGTGTCCTTATCAAGATCATCAATAAATATGTTGAACAGAAATGGTACCAACACCGAGCCCTGAGGTCATCACTCATGACTGGCTGCCAGCTGGATTTAGCTCCACTGACCACTACTCTCTGGGACCGTCCATCCATCCAGTGCTTGACCTGGCAGACTGTTTGCTCATCCAGGCCACAGGCAGCCAGTTTTTCTATGAGTATCGTATGGGGTACTGCATCGAATGCTTTTCAAAAATCTGGGTTGAATATCCACGCCTTTTCCCTCGTCCAATAGTCGAGTCATCATAGGAGGAGATTGGGTTTGTCAGGCAGGACCTGCCTTTCATAAACCCATGCTGACGGGGCCTGATTGTCCATTATGTGACTTTTACTGGCACCCGAGATGACCTGCTCCATGACCTTCCCTGGCACTGAGGGCAGACTGACAGGTCTATGGTTTTGTGGATCCTTCTTTCTACCTCTCTTGTAGATGGGTGTGGTCACGTTTGCCACTCTCCAAGTCCACTGGGACCTCCCCAGGTAGCCATGGCTTAATGTAAAACAACTAGCAGAGGATGGTTTCGATCCATCGACCTCTGGGTTATGGGCCCAGCACGCTTCCGCTGCGCCACTCTGCTGCTGCTTCGCTCGGTGAGCAGTGCTGGGAATGCGGGATAACGGAGCACGTGGCACAGTGTGCGGGACCGCTTAGGGTGCCCCTGACTGGGCTCCTCCCTGAGCAACCTGGTCCAGCACTGAGCTTTGAGCAGGGAATTAGACAAAGAACTCCACAGATCCCTTCCAACCTAGATCTTTCTGTGCTCTCTGTTGTTCACTATGTTTTAGAATTCTTCAGAGAACAGGCAGTAATTCAGATAAGAACATGCTGGGTTCAGACCCTACCCTGTAGTGCCCAGACATCATGAAAGCTGCGTATTTACTATTTTATTTTACCAAGACTCAAACATCTTAACCAAGTGGTATAGCTTGTGTGCAGGCAAGGGGAGAAACTGCTGGTGGAGAATCATCTGGCTTATAAGATGCAGCGAGGACTGAGTATCAAATAGATGAGAGGAAAGAAGAATGTGTGTGCTGGCGGCGAGCTTGTCGAAGTAGCACTCGGAGTGCTGCAGGTCAGCCCAGACCACCTTGCCATGCTGGCTCTGATGGGGGGCCCTGCCGCCAAGCCAGGACCTAGCAAGTGTCAGTGTGTATGTGTGACTCTCCTCCAAGTCTGTCCTGCTCGTGCTGTCATCTGGGCCTCCTGCAGAGAACCAGCCCCAACAATTATCCATCAGCAGCTCCTAAGTGTTTTAGCTGCTAGCCTGCATTAAAACATAATTACGTATTAGATTTCCATTTAAGTGAAAGCAAAGTAGCTTTTGTGTTTCTTCTATAACATGAGTGCTGTCGTGGGGAGCTCAGGGTCCTTCTTCCTCACTGTGTGCTGCTCTTCTTGGTACCTGCATACCTGCAGGTCTGTATGCTAAGCTGAGGGATAGCTGGAGCCCTTCCCTGTTTTAGATCTTGCTGCCTGACCCCACAAGGAGTTGTGTGGCCATAAAAGCAGGAGAGCCCCGGGAAAAACCTGAGGCTGTACAGGTATTTCACAGACCTTCCTTCTTGCACCATACATGACACAGCCTGGTGGGTTCAGGTAGGGCTCTGGTCAGTCAGCGCCCTGATAAGATGCAGGGGGCCGTATCTCCACTTACCCCCCAAAACAACTCTTAATCTCTCTGCAAACTGAATCTGGGGTCCCCAAGCAGCCAGACTGTTCAAATGAGAGTTTGGGAGTGAGGATATCCAATTTCAGCTGTTTTTTCTCAGAGGTCTTCCACCCATGTTCTAGCACAGCTTGGCTCTGCCCAGCTGGTCAGAGGTGAGAGGGTCGCAGTCAAAAGAGTTTCCTGAGTGCTCCTCTTCAGGCAGATGTGTCCATCTTACGCATAAACACGAAGTGATATTGGCAGTAACCAGGTAGTACCTGATGATTTACTGTTGCTTTTACTGTGTTTTTAAACTTTCACACAGATTAACATCAGTAGCCAGGAGCTTTGGGAAGAAATGCTGTGCCTCAAAGGACTCATTGGTAAGGGTTTGATCAACATATTAGATTCCTTTTGTCCTGTGTTAACAGGACACCAGTACTGTTAGGGATCAGTTACTACTGATGCAGATGTTCAGTCAGTCCCTCCATTCCTCTTGTCCTGAATGGAAGAAATAAATATATCAATGGCAACAAGACTAGCCGGAGATTGTAGTCTTCTTAATTTATGTGGGACATTTATCATGCAATCAAAGCAGTGCTAGTTCAGGAGCTTCTGGAGTCTTCAGTCCAGCCACCACGTGGAGCAGAGCTGTTCCCAGTGGGAGGAACAGCCCTGGTTCCCAAGGGCAGAGGCTAGAGGGCTGTTGCATAAGCCTCATGTGCTCTACCTCTGTGCAGCAGTTTTCCCTAGAACATCTGGTACCTTCAAGGTCACAGCCATGTCAGTGTTTCTTCTGAAGACTCCTCCATATCATATCACTGTTATTAGCTTGTTATTTTATAATGTGATTTCATCCTCTGATCTAGCATTTGAAACCTTGAAAGAGGATGATAGTTTCTACTATAGAATCAAATCCATAGCCCTTCTAGTGCTCAACAGGAGTCCTGCGACACTCCAGACAGAACTATGGGAGCAACAGCTTGGGAAGTTCTGGTTGGACATGGGGCAAATCTCCTTCGCTAGGGTGTTGCTGCAGAGGTCACCAGAGGAGCACACCTCAGTCCTCAGAGGTTTTAAAGATTCTTATTGCACTATCACCCCTTTGCAGTCCCCTTCCAAATGATTGTTCTGCAAAGCAGAGAAGTGCACAAACCAACCTATTGGTCTATGTCTAAACTGACCCATTTTGACCTCATTCTGACTAATTTTCCTTCTTGCAGTTGTTGATGCGTTTCAAGCCTGGTGTGGTCCATGCAAAGCAGTAGTAGATCTTTTCCGAAAAATAAGGAATGAAATTGGCAGTCATCTTCTGCATTTTGCTGTGGTAAGATCTAACCTGGCACTGCTTAAAGCATTTAGTCCCCTGAAACAAGCAGGTAACTAAAGGGCTGAAGTCATTTATCTTTCTATTCAGCCACGATGATAACAGTCCAGGAGTTCCAGCTTGTGTGAGTGAGCCTGCCAAATACAGACACTTGGTTACACCAATAAGAACTTTTATCACTAAGAATTTTCAGGCTTCAACTGTTCTGTACGTTTCAGTTGTCTGCTTAAGCAAGCAATGCTAGACAGAATCATTAGTGTGTGTCCCTCTGATGTACAGGGAGAGTCTGAAGGAGCTGGGTTGGTTCACCCCTGAAGAAGATTAAGGGACAGGTGTCTAGTTGGGGGGTTAACAGAGAAGACAGAGACAGACTTTTCTCAGTGGTACACAGCAAAAGAATGACAGATAGCAGGATCAAGTTGCAGCAGGGAAAAATTCAAGTAGATAGAAGGGGAAAGAATTAATTGCAGAAGCGGTTGGACAGTGGGACACGCTCCCAGAGAGGCTGTGGGGCAGCGATTCTTGCAGATGCTAAAAATTAACCAGCCTGGAGCAACCTCCTATAACACTGCGACGAGCCTAGAGCCCTGCATAAGTCCCTCTCTGCCTTGGTTCCGCTGTGGTTCAGTGTTTAAATGCCGTTCCTGGCCGAAGGCCAGCTCTGGATTGCTGGTAGAGCTGTGGGCAGCGAGGCTCCTCATGGAGGCCCCTGCCCAGCACAGCTTGCAGCCTGTTGCTGCTGCCACCACAGCTCCTCCTGTCACTTCCATCGCTCCTTATAAACAAGAGACCCTGATTTCATTTTTGCAGGGTTTTTTTCTCTGGGATTCACTCGGGGAAGATACTGTGAGGTAGATATCCCTGCCCTATTTTGCAGGGTGAGATGTGCCACCCCTCTGCCTGCTCCTCAGGTCCTTGACGCTGAGCTGGAGTCGGTGGTGGCCCCGGCTCTGACCAGTGTCCTTTTGGCCTGTGAGACTGGACCCGGAGGTGTTTCGCTGTACATGGGGGATCGGTGCCAGCCAGCTGAGGATGTCTGAGTCCCAGTGGTTTCATGTGTGTTCCTCTGAAGTAGAAACAGTTTTCTAGAAACACCTGTTTTGTTTTATTATACATTCCTTTTAGGCTGAAGTTGATTCCATTGATGGTCTGGAAGAATACAGAGGAAGATGCGAGCCTGTCTTTCTGTTTTATGCAGTGAGTGAAAATATTGCTATAGTAGCAACATAACAATAAATATCACTTGCCAGTGGGAACAACTGTCCTTTTTGAGAGATAATATTTTTCTTTCATGTGTGACAGCACAATTTTATTTGTTCTGTATCTGACGGTATCTACTGGTGATCAAGTGCTGCATGTATAAGAATATACAGCCAGAGTTTAAATATCTCCTGCTTTGCCACCAAGAAACAGAACAATGTAATTTTAATATTTTTTTTTTAAAAAGAGTGTGAATGAAGTAAAACATTAAATTGCACAGGTAGGTGAAAACAATTTTTTTTTTTTTTTTTTTATACTTTTACCTGGGGGGAGGCCCATGTAGCCTGTGATAGATGACTATGTTTTGTGACCCTTTCCCGTTGAGGCCATGAAAATCCCTATCATTCACACACAGGGAACCCTGTGACTTATTGAAAGATGTATGCGTCCACAGGGTCTTGTGGCTGGCCAGTCCAGAGAGCAGCGTTCATGCCATGTTAGTATGTGAATGTGTGTTGCCCTGAGGGGTCTTAAGGTTCAGCCTCCTGCTACTGCAGGACCTCACTCCTCTCCACAAGCTGCTTTGGTCTATCCTAAGACTGATCAGGAATGACCAAGAAGATTGTTCCAAAGTTTCCCTCTTGTTCTGGAGCCAGAGCAGCTCTGTCGGGGAGGAGGGCATGGTACACAGTATCTTATGTCATGTGCTGCTGCGGTAGTTTCCAGAGCCCAGAGGGCAACACTTGAGCACTTACTGACTGATTTTGCTTTTCACACCTTTCAGGGAGGAGAATTAGTAGCTGTTGTAAGAGGAGTGAATGCACCAGTGCTGCAGAGGACCATCCTGGAACAGCTGACACTGGAAAGGATGGGTTTAGAGCATGGAGGACAGCGTGGGGTGGTAATCAGTCACTAAATCCTTAAATACCTCTAGATGTGCATGCCAGAGGGAAGGTTCAGCTCCCCAGTGCCAGCATATCTCTGAAGTAGTCACTTTCTCACCAAAATCCTGTCCTTACTGAAATCTGGTTAGTGTGTTGCTTGAGTGCCCACAACCCTGGGGGGCCTACCTAGATGGAGGAAGCTGGGAAGGGTGATTGTGTTTTTCAAAACCTCTCACTGCAGAGCTGAGCCTGGCCCTCAGACAGCAGGGGGGCGGGTTCCTGCTCAGATGGAGGTAGAAATTGGGGACCTGCCTGGCGGGCACTCACCTAGAGGGTAAGAGGACACTTGGGATGTTCCTTGCTCATCCACGTGCTTTTGCTGCTAAGGTACAAGACAGAGCCTTCTCCAAAGAGGAGGGAAACATGGCTGCTCTTCCAGAAGAACAACAGGAAGGCCCAATAGGTAAGGCAGGCACAGCTGTAGGATGCTCTTTGTGCTCTTACTATGTGCCTTTGCCAAAGCTGGAACCTAAATGATGATTCAGCTGCTCCTTGGACCCCAGAGGGACGGTTCCTCCAAACGGGCACAATGTGGGCTCTTCCCCCAGCCTCTGACAGATCAGTATAGGATAGTGTCACCTCAAACAGCGTATGTAGACACAAAAACAGGCCAGGGTAGCTTGGGTGTCTGATGTCATCAAACCGGTAAGTATTTTTACATGTTTTATGTTGCATTTGTCAGTACTGACCCCTCTCCTTGCCTGGTGAGGGCTCTTGGACATCCCACATGCCTTGAATAACTGAAATACTGAACTTACTGCAGATGCTGCTCAACTTTTCCAGGTGTTTTTTAAAAGGAAACACAAAAGCTTGGGCACCAAATCTTATTACACCAGCTCTTGCCTTGTCTAAAATTAGCCACACATTCCCAGAGGCTTTTGTCTCTCACCTAGTTTCTAACGCTTTTTCTTGGCTTTGCTGGGACGCAGCTGCAGACTGGTGCTGTGCACACCAAGTCCTGTGTTGCAGAATGCTGGGAATTGTCACAAAACCCACTTGGCTTTAGCTGAGGCACCATGGGTCTGGAAGGGCTGCAGTGCATGTTGATGTCTATCTCTCATTTCTTTACCTGTTACTAATTTTTTCCCTTTTCCTTCCCTTGGAGGCTAATGCACCCGTCAGTCCCAGGCCCGCTTTCCCAGCCATCATTGTGGAGCAGATGCGGGATTTCTCATTAAATGAAAGGATTTTGTGCAGCAGCAGTGTCACCAAAATGGGATAAAAGAACTTACAGACACCAATGTGATGTAGATAAGCAGACACTCCTTTATTAACAGCTGGTTGTGTAGGGGAGTTGTCTCACCAACAACGCACACCTCACTCATGTAGCATGCTGATTATAGAGGATACAGTAATAAATATTATTGAAGTTCTCATTCATAAACATTTTCTTATTCCCGCCCCTTTCTGGTCATGAACACTTGACTCCTGAAATGAGTCGGGGGGCTGCTTTTTATGACCACCATGACTACTGACCTAAAAGACCCTGCAATGCCCTTGACCCAAGGATTTGGCTCACATTGCGATTTTTGAGGCCATTTTACAACGCGACTTTTAGAACACCTGGTCCACCGGCAATAAATTGTCCTTACCCAACAGTCTAACCATGGTACCTCGGTATGAGTCTTTCTTTGAATAGGAATCTGGTTAATGATTATTACTTGTCTGTGTGGCCTTGGCCTGGGACTTTGAAAAGAACTTTGTAGCGGCATAACTGGTTGTACAGTTGCTCTAAATCATTCCTTATTTGAACCCAAAACATCAAAAATCATTAAAACCAGCTCAAATAAATAAGGCGCCGCGGCCCCTTTAAGGCCGGCGGGGGGCGG